CGGTACACTGTGACAGATGTTGATGGTACACAGCAACAAATGTTTGTGTGCACTGATACACTGACAGATGTTTTTGTGCACTATTACACTGTGATCGATGGGTCATTAGGCAAGATGCACTTTTCAGATGGGGGAAGGTGGAATCCCTGCTTTGTTCTTGAGAGTACATGAACCTAGGGAAGCTGCAATATATATTTTTGTCTGCTGTTACTAACTGGTCTTTTTTTTTTTTCAGAGTGAGCTGGATGTATCCTTTTTCAAAATAGTGTGTCCATACTAGCTTTATAAAGTGAACCTATCAAAAAATTTACAATTCCCACTAATTGGTACGGTACATGGTAGTAGTAAACAATCCAGTTTTATTTCTGAGTTGAAAAATTGTAGATCTTTCTTAACCTGAGTTTACAAAAAATTCAATAAGCAAAGTGGTAATGTGATCAGAAAGAATGGACCCATACACACAGATAATTACAAGGTTATTAATTCAAAGGATAAGTTCACCTTTTGATTTAAAAAATAAATAAATGCACATTTTTTTTTTTGCAGGTTTCCCCCGCGGGTGTGGTGCGATTTACAGTGCGATTTCAGCCATTTATTTTGTATGGTTCAAATTTTACTGCAAATCGCACCGCACCCACAGGAAAACCGTATGTGATTTGGACAGGAATCGCCCCACATTCCTGCTCAACTGAAATACGATACTTTGCAGTGAAATTTGAACCCATTAATTTTTGTAAGGGCTCAAATCAAACCGCAAAGGTATTGGTATCGACGAGTAATTAAGCACAAGTATCGGTACTCGTACTCGCTGATAAAAAAAAAAACAGTATCGGTGCAACCCTAACAGGAAGATCAATGGACTAGGAGAACACTCACCAGTGTCCTTGTAGATCACTGAGAACTACAAACTGTCAGTTGCAATAGCTGATGGTACTTGTAGGCATTTATTCACAAAAAAGACCAAACTTTTTTTTTCTTAGTTTCTGTTATAAAATTTTGCAAGCAGGTAATTTTTTCTCCTTCACTGAAGGGCATTGATAGGCGGCACTGATTGGCTGCACTGATGGACACTGATGAGAAGGCACTGATGAGGCTGCATTAATATGTGACACTGATGGCTGTCACTGAAGGTCACTGATAGATGGCACCGACTGGCGGCACTGATGGTCAGTGACTTGCAGCACTGATGGACATTGTTGGGACTGCACTGATGGACACTGACTGACAGCACTGATGGACACTTCTGGGACTGCACTGATGTGTATATACAGTTGCCGATTACTGGCTTCCCTCTCTCCTCATGCTGTGACAGCTTGAGGAAAGTGCAGCCAATTACTGGCAACTGTATTTACATTATGATCAGCTGTGTCATTGGACACAGCTGATCGTGTGGTAAAAGGCTCTGTGTTTTGCTCTTTACTATGTCATTTGATCACAGCGATCACAGAGAGCACCGGGTGCATGCCGTGGGCGGCACGTTCTGGGAAAACGTCAATTGACGCCCTCCCAGAACTAGACGACCGCACTGTAGCCGTCATTTGACTATATCCCAGTCATCAGGTGGTTAATATACTTGAACAACGTTTGGGACTTTTTTTTTTTTCTTCTCAGCTAAATGAAACTCGGAATCTATTTCTATTTGCCCTGATTTCACTCTTGCACTTCTTAAAGCATTCTTTGTATTTTTGGAATGCCAGTGTTGATCCTTAGGCCTTATATTTTTAAAAGACATTTTTTGTCATTAATATGCCTTTTTACTTTGGTATTTATTATTATACAGGATTTATATAGCGCCAACAGTTTGCTCAATGCTTTACAATATAAAGGGAGACAATACAGCAACAATACAGTTCAATACAAGAGGGATAGGATGGCCCTGTTCCTTGGAGCTTTAGCCACCCAGGTTTAACTTTTGCTCTTTTATATTTTTTACCCATTGGAATGCACTGACTAATGCCATTGCTGAATATGTTGAACCACCTCCCGCCCGCCATATAGTCCAATGACGGGTGCAAGGTGGTTCTCTTGTTCTGGGAGCACGCTCAGGGGGTGCGAAGCACGGCGATCGGCGATGCACTGTGTCCCTCGGACACAGCGGATCACCAATCACAGAAAGAGCCAAAGATGTCGGCTCGGTCATGTGAACAGCTGTGTCCAATCACAGCTGATCGCATGTAAATAGGGAAATGCCGGTTATCTGCATTTCTCTCCTCTCAAGCTGTCATGCTGACAGCTCGAGAGGAGAGGAGAGCCGGTAATCGGCTTTCCGCGGAGAGGACATGTACACTGGTCATCAGGGCACTGATGATCAGTGTGCCCTGATGATCAGTAGCCCCAGCAGTGCCACCTGTCAGTGCCTTGTGTCAGTGCTCATCACTGCCTCGTGCCAGTGCCCATCAGTGCCACATCAATGCCACATATCAGTGCCTACCAGTGCACATCAATGCCACATATCAGTGCCCACCTGAGCTGTCTTTCAGTGTCACCCATCAGTGCCAATCAGTGCCACCTATCAGTGTTGCCAATCAGTGCCACCTATCAGTGTTGCCAATCAGTGCCATCTGTCAGTGCCACCTATCAGTGCCAGTCAGTGCCGCCTATCAGTGCCAGTCAGTGCCGCCTATCAGTGCCATGTATCAGTGCTGCCTTTCAGTGCCCATCAGGGATGCCTGTCAATGCCCATCAGTGCCACCTACCAGTGCCTCCTCATCAGTGTCCATCAGTGCAGCCTATCAGTGCCCACCACTGCAGCCTCATTAGCGCATATCAGTGAAGGAGAAAAATCACTTATTTACAAATTTTTATAACAAAAACTAAGAAAAAAAATTTTTTTTTCAAAATTTTCAGTGGTTTTTGGTTTGTTTAAGAATAAATAAAAAACCCAGAGGTGATTAAATACCACCAAAAGAAAGCTATCTGTCACAAAAAATGATAAAAATTTCATGTGGGTGCAGTGTTGTATGAACGCGCAATTGTCATTCAAAGTGTGACAGTGCTGAAAGCTGGAAATTGGCCTGGACAGGAAGGGGGTATAAGTGCCCCGTAGGCAAGTGGTTAACAACAAGCCTTAGTTGACTGCGTAGTTCCTGCCCATTCAATATCAGGATTGTTAAATGCCCATGATTATAACAACCCCACCATTTCGAACTGTGAAAGTGAGTTGGACTCTTCCTCATCAAAAATTAGGGGGCCTGTAGCATACCCCACAATTATTTTATTGTTTGTTTCATCCCTTTGATGCTTTTGCCAAAAAAGATTCTACCTCCTCCCCAGTTCCGTTACCAATGTCATCCCTCTTTTTCACCATCAAATCACTCTTGACGTACAAGCACACCCTTCCCCCTCTTCTACCCACCCTGTCCCTTTTATATAGGGAGTACCCCTGAACAGTTGCAAGCTAGTCATGTGATCTGTCAAACAAAGTTTCTGATATTCCCATAGGCAAAATCCTTCTCATGTGTGTATCTGAAGACTTAGTTCTTCCATTTTTGGACATTTGTGTACATATCCTTTTTATTTTGTGCATATTTTTAAATCCTTGCTTGCTCTTGAGTTCTAGCAGGATTTATCCAGCCTAAAAATATTGATAATCCATACTTTAGTTGCTCTATCATCTGGTTTGAGGCCCCCTTCCCCCACATCTGCACATTTTATCACTTGCTCACCACACTGTATACCTTTCACTGACTCCTCTCCCTAAATCTTGGTTTAAAAGTTCCTCCAACCTTTTGGCTATGACCCAGAAAGTGCTTGGTAGCTAACTCGGTGCATTCAAGTGTGCAGTAGGATGCAGTGCTGCCGATCTTGATAGATGCATATAGATACTAGCTTGGCAGCTTGTAGAGGAATCTTAATCCATGGACAAATAATCCTAAAATAAAAGCTAGATAGCATAAAAAAAGACTTTTGTCTGCAGAGCAAAGAAAAGGTCTCCATTCTCTTAGGACCCTAGCAAAAAAACAAAAACAAAGGCATGCTGGAGTTAAGAAGGGTTAGACCAGGTTGATCACTGTTTGTTTGCCATTGTCTAAACTCTCTTGTAGCAGCCTTATAACCCAACAATCTCTGAATTTCTGTGTCCTCAGTAAAGGAAAATAAAAGTCTTGGTGGCTGTAGGAGCTTTAAAGTGGATAAAGCAACATAAGAGCCAAAATGGTCTCATTTAATTTGGGAGTGATAACAGTAGACTGCAGATGGAGAGTCTTCAGGGGAAGGTGTGGGAGTGTGCTTGTGGCAGCTGCAGCCAAAGTCAGTAAATAACTGGATGATTTGGACCATAAAATCTTGCATGACTTTGAAAGAAAATTAATTTCTGACACAAGTTAAAAATAATTAAGCAGCTCTGGGTACAACATTCACCTCCTCTCCAGTAATGTCCCTTTATAGATTCACCTGCTCACTGAACCACTGCCACTCCTCCTCTGTGTTGAATGTCACTCTGCATCAATACACACTTCCATATACTAAAGAAATAACCAGTTTGGGATCAATTCATTTCATGACTTCATGTCTTCCAAAGCATAGTTGTTTCTATCTGACCATAAACAATGGTAACAAACTTTATAGGGTAACATATAAAAGAAAACATTTTGTCAGGGGAATTTTTTTCATTTTCTTTTTACTCACATTTGCCTCTTACCTCCATTGAGACCTACCTTGTTCCCATATAATATTACATGCAGTGCAGGAGAGATGTTTTCTGCTGATATATGGTCTGTTGTAGAATAAAAATAAAAAAACTATGGTCTGGGGAAAAGGATGAAGTAGTAATATGACTTTATCCCAAACTGGTAGTTTAGTATGTGATTTTCATCTCTGTGTAGTTAGCAGCAATTACATACCTTTTTTTCTAATGTTGTGGGTACCAAACCCTGTGCATCAACACACCTGCGCAATATACTTCCAAAATTGTAGGTCTGTATCCAGGCAGTTTTTTTCGTTTATTTGAATTGAAATAAAAAACACTTTTCTAAATTCAATGCCTTGACTTAGTTTCACAGATCATGTTTAATCTAGACAAGGTGCACATTATTTTGGATGAAATGGTATTAAATGGCTGTGCTGTGGAGACAAATAAGACCCGGATTCTCGCTCCTCTGCTTGTATTGGACAAAGTGGGAGACAGCTGAATGTCACTTCCTTACTTGTCACCTAATGGTTACAGTTCAAAATGCTTAAGTCTGTGAGCAGCCTGCACAGTCTGATAAAACGACTTGAGGTCAGCAAACATTTGTTTTTGTTATTATGCACATTGGCTCTGACATTCCTACACTGCTGGTATAATGTGAAACATAGACTGCCTCCTGCTAAAGATACATCGTGATTACCAACAAGGATTTCAAACAAGGTACTCTGTGTATGTTGAGTGCCCTGTCAGCACCAGGTCCTAAAAGGTCTGTCTTTGTATATACTTGTCTGTGCTGAGTTTGGCTTTGGACCACAGCAGACCACTTATTGTGCTCCATTTATTTCCCCATCAGTTTTACCTTATAGTGTGCACATCACTCCTAACATACTACCTGCACTTTTCTTCGTAGTAGTCAATTATTACCTTTGAAAACAGCAGAAAGAGAATGGACTGATGGCTCACAATCCTGTAATATATATTACAAATTATTTAGTGTTTTTTTGGAATTAAAATACAGCTAGTCACATTTTTTTTACTATAATCAGACTCTGAAACACTGCTGCTATGGGTTACAGCAACTTATTGTTTTCACCAGGACTTTAAATAAAGCACTATCTATACAAGACTCAAGATGTCGCTATCTGTGTATTGTTTATGGTTTACAAATAACAGTTTTGGTTGGCTATATACAGTTGGGAAAATAATTATTTGATCCCCTGCAGATTTTGGAAGTTTGCCCACTTACAAAGAAATGAAGGGTCTTTAATTTTTATCATAGGTGTATTTGAAATGATCGAGACAGAATATCAACCAAAAAAAAAAACAGAAAAAAACTCATGATACAAATTTTGAGTTGCAGTTCAGGGAGTAAAATAAGTATTTGATCCCCTACCAACCAACAATAATTATGGCTCCTATGGACTGGCTATGTGCTCATGTGGTACACAGATTAGTGCTGTCAATTTAAGAAGGTGCTCACCATCATGGGCAAGACCAAAGAGCTGTCAAATGACGTCAGGCATAAGATTGTAGACCTGCACGAGGCTGGGATGGGCTACAAGTCCATCAGAAAGAAGCTTAGCGAGAAGGAGACAACTGTTGGAGCGATTATTTGCAAATGGAAGAAATACAAAATAACCATCACTCGCCCTCGGTCTGAAGCTGCATGCAAGATTACATCTCATGAGGTAAGGATGATCATGAGAAAAGTGAGGGATCAGCCCAGAACTACACGGGAGGAGCTTGCAAATGATCTCAATTGTGGCAGTTGGGACCACAGTCACCAAACAACCCATTGGTAACACAATACGCCGCCATGGATTGAAATCCTGCAGCGCCCGCAAGGTCCCCCTCCTCAAAAAGGCACATGTACAGGCCCATCTGAAGTTTTCCAGTGAACATCTAAATGATTCAGAGAAGGATTGGGAGAAAGTGCTGTGGTCAGATGAGACCAAAATTGAGCTCTTTGGCATTACTCGACTCACCATGTTTGGAAGAAAAATGCTGACTATGGTCCAACATCATCCCTACAGTAAAGCATGGAGGTGGAAACATTATGCTTTGCAGGTGTTTCTGCTAAAGGTACAGGCCAACTTTGCCACATTGAGGGGCCAATGGATGGGGTCATGTATTGTAAAATCTTCGATGAGAACCTTCTTCCCTCTGCCAGAACACTGAAGCTGGGTCTTCCAGCATGACAATGACTCAAAACATACTGCCAAGGCAACAAAGGAGTGGCTCAAGAAGAAGCACATTAAGGGCTCATTCACACTATACATGCAGAAAAACCGATGGAGAAAAAAGCGCAGATTTTACTTGCCCAAACATGAGTTAACATTAGTTTTTTCATGTGCGTGTCAGTGAACTTTATACACATTACAGATTCTTGCGCAGAAAAAATATTTGCACGTGATACTAGTGTTGTTCTTTTGTTTGTGCCCTTGCAGAACGCATGCAGAAAACTTCACGCCTCTGCACACTGGTGTGAATGAGATTGGGAAAGAACTCCCTCCCTGGTATGTATAAGTGGGCGTTAAAGGCTGTTGTAATAAATGAGCCATCAAACAAAGTGCAAGAGCACAGACCACAGGATGACTCCGATAGACGCCATGCCACTTGGTCAGCTCAAATTGTGGACATGACTTGTTCATAAGTATCAGTAGTTTTGTAATGGAGTCCACTCTTCATCTTTAAACTCACATTCCAAATCTTTCTCCCAAGCTCTGCATGTTCCTTCCAAATTAGGAGGGATAGCGGTATAGAATTGTGTTTATATATTTTTTATTATGTTGGCCTCCCTACAGTCCCACAGTGAGGGAGTGAAAGGAAGTATGTGTAGCCAGCTGTATGTGCAAAGCTCAAGTACACTTTAAAATTGAAAAATCTTTTAAAGTACAGAGAAGTGTATGGGAGGCTGGAGACAGCTGGAGTGTAGGGAATGCATGCTGAGCTGTGCATGTGCAGCTCAGTGTACATCCTGTAGAAGACTGAGTAGGCAGGTGGGTGTTATTGTAGAAGAGACATAACATGTTTCTTCTGCAGTAAAGAGCTGCCAGCTCGCAGTTTTTCACTAGCTTATTCCACATTAAAATTGCCTCATTTTTGAAACCTGAATGTTACCCAATTACAATCCATGTTTCAGCACCAACACAGTTGTTATCAGTGTAGAAATCTTTATGTCAGATCTAAAGAAGGTTAAGATTCCCTTTCAGTAACCTTTGCTGTCACATTCTGACTATAAGATTTTGTTTTCACTTCAAGGACCCAAAGAGGTAACTGAATTATTTCTGGAGGATGATCTGGGAACAAAATACAGTGATTATTGTCATGGTCACCAACCTAAAATAAAGGAAACAAGCGAGTAGGATGTCTGAGCAATAGGGGGCCTGGGTACACTAGTGTGTGTTTCGATGATAATGAGTCATGAAGTGATGATAAGGAACAAGGAGACAAAGACAGCAGTAAGCCAAAAAAAAAATCCCACTCCCTCCATTCTTGTTGTTGCTGCAATTAAATTGTTTCATTTTCCTTAATCTAAAACCAAAACATTTATTTCAATTTTTTCTTCACTTCTGACTTAAGACCTTGGTCACACTGGATGCGAATTGGCATGCAATTTGCTTGCCATGTGACTTGCAAATCACATGCCAAATCACAGCCTATTGTCCACAATTAGAGAGGTCATATCGGTGTGGTTCTGACTTGGTCAGAGCCACACCGATTTCTAAAGTAGTACATGTACTACTTTTGGTGTGATTTGCATAGACATCTGTATCAGATGTCTTGCAAATAGCACCTGAAATCGGCATGTTATCCGACTTTGAAATTGTTCGCACGATTTCAAAGTAGGGTTTGATGTGACTGGGATGTAAGTCACGGCAAGCAGTGAGATAATATCTCTTCAAAATAAGGGAAATCCTCATAGGCAATGATAAGCAAAACAAGTGTTCACATCGGAAGATGCCTACTTTATTATTGTTAGAGTAACTATTCCTCATTGGGGACACACACAACGATAAACTTGTATTTCAGGCCCTCTCCACTTTTATCAATATATTACATCCGTATTTAGGGCGTATCATATTGCTAAGCACCTCCAATGCTTTGCAGGCTCTTGTGAAAAAAAATAATAAATGCATTCTTTTTTCTCTGCAAAATTGTATGCAGTTATTTTTTTTCCCTAAAGGTGAACTTAACCTTTAATATAATAATTCAAGAGTTTTTTTAAAATTATTATTACCGTATTCCGCGCTCCATAAGACGCACCTGACCATAAGACGCACCTAGGTTTTAGAGGTGAAAAAAACAAGAAAAAAATATTCTGAACCAATGGACTGCAGACACAGTACAGGAGATGACCAAAGACTGCGGACACAGTACAGGGAATGACCAGAGACTGCGAACACAGTACAAGAGGGGACCAGAGACTGCGGACACAGTACAGGAGATGACCAGAGACTGCGAACACAGTACAGGAGATGACCAGAGACTGCGGACATAGTACAGGAGATGACCAGAGACTGCGGACACAGTACAGGAGATGACCAGAGACTGCGGACACAGTACAGGAGATGACCAGAGACTGCGGACATAGTACAGGAGATGACCAGAGACTGCGAACACAGTACAGGAGATGACCAGAGACTGCGGACATAGTACAAGAGGGGACCAGAGACTGCGGACACAGTACAGGAGATGACCAGAGACTGTGAACATAGTACAGGGAAAATGCCAGGGACTGCGGACATAGTACAGATGACCAGAGACTGCAGACAGTACAGGGGATGACCAGAGACTGCAGACAGTACAGGGGATGACCAAGAGACTGCAGACCTTTGAGAAGGGAGGGGGAGCGGGTACCTGAAGTCCTTTCTTTAGTGTGGGCATGCTGGCTTCTTCCCGAGCCGGCTTCTGTGACAGCTGTGTGCCCACAGCACATGCATGAGAAGCGCTGCGCTTTGTGAATGGCCCGGCGCCTTCTGGGACCTGTCATGCGCAGTGGGCACACGGCTGTCACAGAAGTCGGCGCAGGAAGATTGCGCTGGGCAGAGGAACAGGTAAGGTCCTGCAGCAGAGAACAGCTGAGCGGCCGGCCCGGTATTCTGACATGGTGGTGGTGGCGGCAATACCAGACCGGCTGCTCCATATTCGCTCCATAAGACACACTGACATTTTCCCCCCTTCTTGTGGGAAAAAAAGTTTGTCTTATGGAGCGAAAAATACGGTATTTAGGGCAACATATTGTATACCAGTGGTCTCCAAACTGCAGCCCGAGGGCCGAATGTGGCCCTTTGCTTGCCTTTATCCAGCCGTTGGGGCACTTTTCCTCCCACTGATAAAAGACACTATTTCTTTCCTCCAACAAAAAATGGGGCATAAATACTGCTACTGACCTCAACAATGGGGCACTGTTTTTCCCATTGACACCAACAATGGGTACTATTCCTCCCTCTGACACCAATGATGGGGAACTATTCCTCCCACTGACACCAATGAGGGGGC